CGAGCTTGTCGTCCTCTTGACCTGGCGGCAGACTTCAAGGTGAGCATTCCCATGCCTCTATTAACTCAGCAACTTTGAAAGTTTGCGAGTTTGATTAGAGAATGTTAGAGTATATGTTGAGGCGTTCGGCGGCCAAGTTACATATGCTTTTAACCATTCCAAGCTCTGACAAGACGGCACAGCCAATACGTTAGCCTAACAAAAAGTTCAACCTCGCAAAACTCGAGAAACCTATGTCCATAGGTAGAAGCTATGTCCACTTAAATGATCCCATCTTCAATAACCATGCCAAAATGGCAAGAAGGTCAAAAATGAACCATTCGAAGATGAGCAATTGTGTTAGAAATAATTGCTTTCATGGCGAATTGAATTGCTAACACAAGTGAGCAACACTATGATCGATATTATAGACGTTGCTGAATCAGGTAAAAGCTATGTCCACTTAAAGGCACAGTTCACGACAATTTTGAGGTATCCTTTTTGAGTCATAAAACGGAAGTATCGGTTGGGTAAAGTGCATCGATGGTGAAGGAAGCGAAAAAAATTTGCCGATTTTGAGACAAATAAGGCTCCTCAAAAGTAGTGAAAGAAGTAGTTGTTCGAGATAATCAGATAATCATGGAAGGAGTACTTGGACGAGATTTCAGTTTTTGCAGTTGCGCAAAGAGCTGACTACAACAAGCCAAAACTGTCCAAGACTGCCTTCCAACGTCGTCAAGTCATGACAATGCTTTTGAACGTTCACATGCAGCTTCCAATTTTCACTTCCACACAATGGGTACCCTTGTCAATGGTGCAGCCTCTACAATGCTGCTGGAACACGCCACAATGTTTGGGCCTTTATAACGCCCTAACTAGGCCGTTTTTCGAGCTGATAGCGCCACGTATGGTATAAGAGGGGGCCATAGATCTATTCTCATAAGTCATTTTTATCGTGAACTGTTCCTTTAGGCCCCAACACGTCACTCGTGGACTTGAGATCAGTTGGTATCCGTTCCGATTATAAACTCAATAGAGAAAACGGCTCCATGAACAGTTTCATGAAACCGGCCTTTCAGCGGAAGAGAGTCAAACATTGGAGATGAGAGAAGATTATTTACTTGTCTGAAAACAGTACTAGCAATGCTACTTATTGAAACTCTCCAAATTGTGTTCTGATGCGTAGGACAATCCTGACAAAAATGGCGCTATTCTTGTATTGAGGGAGTCATCAAAAGGAAACAGCAGGTGGGTGGAAAAGAAAGGGAGCAGTAGATGTGCAAGACTCTGAAACCACTAAGTTTCTGCACCAGCGAAAAATGCGCCATGCACTTGAACATGACATGTGACTGGGTCACCTGCGTACCTGTAGATTCACATACCGTAGATGAATCTAAAAGCTTGGGCTGTCAGCATTCTTCAGAGCAGGCTAACTACAAACCGTCGATCCTGGGCATGTGACACTTCGCTGGCTAATTCGTAAGACAAACGTGAGGAAAAAGCGTTTTGTACCCCAAACCTCACCTTCGGTCAAAGGGGTGATACGGAGCGCAAAGAGGCGTTCCTCTGTAACAGTAACAGTTTGAGCTGACGTTTATATAAAAATAACAAGATGATACGCATAAGAGGTGAGTCGGTATGCAAAAAAGCTCAAACATAACATTGAAAAATAGCAATCCTTCCCTTTGAAAAAATCCTCATAGAAAGTGAAAGGCAGTATGATGGGAATTATCGGAGGGGGAGTTCATTCTTTTTAGGATTTATATACAGCAACAATTGACTAGGTTGTATCATCATAACAATGTAACAGATGTCAAGAATAGCTGAGAGAGCGAGTCAACTGTAGACAATACTGGATTTCCTCTTTTTTATGTAGCTGGGGCGTTTTGATGGCTCAACTATAGCTGCGTCGCGACCAAAGAAACTGATCAACTGCGGATGTAGCCTGAAAAAAATAATCTTTAGAGAAATGGGAAAGATTGGAAAAATTTCGAGAGATACCTGAAATGCAACGCATTCCCTTTGGGTTGCTCAAGAATTTCACCGTCAAGGTTCCAGACACCAGGATCTTCCTGATCGGCGTCCGGTTCGAAAGACCATCTCAGCACTCGGAAACAATTCAACGTCCTGTCCAGTTGGTACAGCTGAATTAAGCAAGTGCTTGTCTTCCTCTTGCTTCCGAAGCCAGAATAGGAGAAACATACCCCTTTTCCTCCGTACATTGCAACTTTCCGCATAAATTGTATATTGTGACATCTAGAAATCCTAGGGACCAGAGCCAAATCCAAAGTGCCATCTCCTATTCCTGAACGTGAGCAAGGTTGATTTCCGCTTCAAGGACTTGTATGAAGAATCGTACCCGTAAAAGGCGCCAAGCCATAAGGAGTGAACGGTGTTACTGTGGGGATTACACAACAAATGACGTGAGTGAATTCAGCATGCCAGTGGTAGTCGTAGTGAGGAGATGAAGTCGTTGTAGGCGACGTTTCACTGAAGCTCACATTTATCCTATCTTCAAAGCGACAAACTACCTTACCTACCTGTCTATTGCATCGCATGTTGAACATGGTTTCACACATGGTGGTAGCACTGCTTTCGGATCTTCAGTTTCCTTTCGTGATAGAGTAAATGACACTTTCCCTCGATAAATTGGATGCCGTATTGTGGTCCGTAGAGCTGAAACGGCTACGCGTTAGAGGTAGACCTGCAAGTTGTCGGTTAAGGGACTCACCACTCCATTGGTATCGTATGGGACCGAGGCAACGGTAGCGTTCCGAGTCGCGTAGTACGTCGCCCAGCCATCCGTACGAGATCGCGTTCGCCGAAATCCTTAGCAAGTGGTTGTTCTCGTGCACGGTACACACGTCCACATTACATTCCGAGCCTATAAATTTCGATTTTAGGAAAATCTACAGTTCCTTGGCAAGCTCTAAGGCTCTCATGAAGGAGCCATGAACTCAGCTTCTCGAAGATATTCGTGAAAATTGTCGAAACCCAAGCTTACACCCCTCGGGCGTTTTCAGCACCTTGGCTTATCATTCCATTCCTTCAAATATTTTAGAAAATTTGAAAAGATGCCTAACCAATGGCAATGTGAACAGCTGCAGTTGCGTAATCGGCCGTCTCATGTACTGTGCTCACTATGGAATTAGCAGATCCAGCGCCAATAATGCCAAACCTGAAGTGAGGAGTCTGTAGGTGTTCCGTGTCGGGATCATCGATATCAGTTCCTGGAATCAGTATAGAGATGATTCTAGGAGAGTAGACTGGAGGCCAACTTTACCCACCTGCATCTTTTTGAGTGTGTAGCAGAGCACCAGAAAGTAACTCGTTGAATAGACCGTCGCCTCCAACAGAAACCTAAAGCACTCGTATACCAGACTAGCTACTGCAGCGGTCATTCAAGTGTTCGATGCATCACACATTTCAGAAGAGATGGGACTTGGAAAAATGGTTAGATGCGAGGTGCAGAACAAGCACTACTTTATCTTTTACGGGTCACTCATTCATTTGAAAAAATCATCTTTAAAGGCACAGTTCACGATAAAAACGGTTCTGGGATTTTCCTATGGGATGAATTTGAGGCCCCCTCTTATACAATACCTGGCGCTATTATGTCGAAAAACGGTCTAGATAGGGCGTTATAAAGGCTCAAAGACTGTCTCGCGTGTGGCTTCAGACGGGATTCACCGGCATTGTAGAGGCTGCAGAGATCACAAAGGGACCCGTGTAGGAAGGTTCTGTTCAGTTCTGGCTTGATGTAGTCAGCTCTTCGCGCAAGTGCAATAACCAAAATCTCGTCCGAATAGTTCTTCCACGTCATTTCCGACATGGTAACCTCTTCCAACCTTTATTTTCCATATTTTTGAGGAGCCATAATTTTCTCAAAATCGGCGAATCTTATCGCTTTCTTCACTATCGATGAACTATTCCCAACCTATACTTCTGGTTTTCGACTAAAAAAGGGTACCTCAAAATTATCGTGAACTGTGCCTTCAGGCCTCAGGAATATGCACACTTGTGCCGAGAGAAGGAAAGCAAATACTTTTAATACGCCTTTTTTCATAAAAGGATGACCTGCAGGGCTTTGAAACACATGGAAATTGGAAAAAGTTACTTCCAAACAGCAAGGCCCAGGTTCATGAAGGAAACTGGAGGTCCGCGTAGCTATGACGAGATTCAAACAACAGGAAGGGAAGCGGAATTTGCTTTTACTGTGCTACCCTCTAGCCCCAAACTTTATTTTTTGGCTAGGAAGTTCTCTTCGCTATTGGAATTTTATCTCAGTGATGAAATATTGATTATTAGAACGTTAGATTTTAGAATAGGAGGAAGAAAGAGTTGATTCGAAAGATTTTTTAAAATTTTCACATACATACAAACCTACATAGGCATGAGAGGATGTCAAAAAATAAGAAAATGAAGATCAAAGTGAAAGTTACCAAGCCGTCTATGGACTTCCAACGATCTGGTGGCATTTCATTTACGTAATCTCTGGCATGGTTAGCTCTTTCTGTTAATATCACTTCGTAATTAAGGCCCGGGGTTATTTTGAAGAACGGCTCCACCTAAAAATACAGATCTGTTCTAGGTTCAATACCATGTTTAGTAGGTCACACCTACATTTTTCTGGAAGATGTCTTGTGCTTTGCCCTTGCCTCCAAACGGATTGATGAATACGATGATGTTCTTCGGGCGATTTCGAACGCCTGCAAATCCTAAGAGATAAGGTCGGCGTACACATTAGTTGGGAAACAGCTAACCCAGTAGGGTTGTTGTGATGATGTCCTGCCAATAGTCACGTTCTGCTTTGTTGCTGAACACCACCGGTATCTGCTTGAGGCGCCATCGATACTTGTCCTTTTTGTAAACGAAGTAGAAGTAAAGGGTGCGAAGAGTAGTTTCAGGCTGCAAATCGTTCATATCGGCAAAAATTACATAGGAAGAAGGGAAATGTGAAAAAAACGACAACTGAAGTTGTGCATTTTGGATGGTATACTCGCTGAAGTACCTCGTTTAAGAATCGCATAGACTAATCAAAATAAAATATCTCGATTTTGGTAATGACGATAGTAGAAATAATACCGAGAGGGCCCACTTACAACGCACATAGACTGCATGGAATGAAAACATCTCCATGATTTGGGGATCGAAACATGGACTTACTTCATACCCATTCAGCCCCTTCTTCGGGAGCTGTGCAGTGACATTAGGCTCCCTCAGAACCTTCAAGCTACCCACTCACTTATCTCACTTCTGGCAGAGAAAAAAGTGATAATCGCTTTACATGGTAAGCAACTTGCGAAAAAAGGATCAAAACTTTCTCGGGGTGACTGGTTATATTTTTAAATGGATTCGATGCTCTGAATTCTTTATTCCATTTCAGAGTACACGTGTATGCACGCTTGAGCGGACTAGCCAGAAAGGAGCAATCAGGACAGCTGATACTACGAGACTTGCTCATGACTATCAGAAGAACGAAAAACCGCGGGACACTGAAAGAAAGCTCTTTGTGCAGCACAAACGTTTTTCCACGGGTGGGACGTAGTTACTGTGAGCCACAATTACAAAGTATCACCTAGACAATGATACATACCCTATAGCTAGTTCCCTATGACTACAAGCTCTGCCATTTCGCAAACTAAGAGGCAGACGGTATTTGAAAGTATTACCCCTTGGGCTATGCGTTTAAAGAACTGGGATATTGAGTTTATTGAGTTCCCGACTTGAAGCCGCGAACGCTACAACTTATTTCCATAGGAACGGCACCTTTTGGTCCGTGCTCAGAAAAACAAATTGGCTACAGTAGGGACTTTTTACAAAGTTGATTGCGTTGGGACTTCACTCCTTAGTTACCCAACACCATCCTAATATAAAAGCGGCGATTGAAAAAAGTAATGAAGAAGGTACTGTATGATATTTGTTTCCTTATTCCGTACTACCTATAGAATTCCCTTTTTTTCAGAAAACGAAGCCAAAATTTGCGAGAAAACGTGCCTTTTTGTCAAGGATTACCGGAAGCCCTCTTTTTATTTTAACTGATGTCGTGCGAACACAAAGCAACTCGTCCAGACGATACGTGATCGAGTGTCGGCGGGACGTACTGAAAATAAAGTGCATTATATGTACAGAAAAATTCTTCGGAGGACAATTATACAGTAAAAGCACCTATTTTTTCCCATATTTTTGCTATATATTATTTCCTTTCTTTCTAACTGCTATGAAGTAGGGTCATGAAGAGATCAATGGAATTGTCAGAGTAAAGGAGGTCAGAGAGATAGTTCAAAGTGTTCTGGGTAACATTAGATGGAAGATTTGACTATGAATCCAGCTCAGCTCCACCTACACATGTTGGAGATTGAAGACATAAAGAAGAAGTATTAAGTTGAGTCATAAGTTCTCGGACAAAGTGATAGTGATGACTTCTAGAGATCATTACTCGGGAAAGAGGTGACGAAAATGGGCGCGCGAGGCATCGTTAGATAGAGTATTAAACGCTCTTCCAAATACATACTAAAGAATACACCTGGCCATCTCCTGCGCTTGAGCGTGAGGAGAGAAAAAGCCATGTCGGCGCAAAAATCCATGTCATAATGCTTCAAAGCATGAGGCACCCATCGACCGAGCTTTCGCACCTTACCGATTGACTTAAGTCCACGATTAATTGTGGACTGACTCCCCAAGGGTGACTGCCAGTTCACGAGGAGTTTGATACGGATCGGCTTCCACCTGGCTCCGCAGCACCTCCAAATCNAACCCCATTGAGCGTCCCGGACGGTCCTCATTTTCGATGGAATTGTCGTCCGACGTGAACTTCGTGTGCCGCTTGTGAATTGTGCATCTAGCAGGCGCACCCTTCTTGTGAACTTCCTGAATGCGTCTATCGATCTCCGCGAGTTCTTGGCCAGATCAAAAAAGAAATAGGATGTTGTTGCGGAGGTGGAGTTGCGACGGCTTGAAATCATGGATCATGGTTGCAGGAAAGGGAATAGTCAGGTATGTTTAATAGTATTCATTTGGAAGAGCTTCTCATACTCTATCTAACGATGACACGCGCTTCCATTTTCGTCACCTATTTCCCGAGTTATGATCTCTAGAAGTCATTACTATCATTTTGTCCGAGAACTTATGCCTCAACCTAATACTTTTAGGTGGGATGATTACAACTGAGAATATGTTTCGAAGTTGATGGCAGTGGAGCGAAGAGAAAAATGTGATGTCCATTCTATCTTTCCCTCAGAATTGCGATCTCATTCAGCCTTGGAAGTCCAAAACGAATATTTACAGGACGAGGACAGATGGGAATAAAATTCGCGCAGAGTGCTACGTATAGAACAGCCATTCTGAATTATTGCCTCCCACCTTACCAGATGCCAGATGCCTGCTCCCTTAAATTTTTATGACAACACCTTTGAAATTGTCTTACTCGAGCAGTTCGAATGAGAAAACGTTGATGTTGCGGTAGAAGACGATTTTGTGGTCCTTGCCATGCGGAGACGTGACCAGAGCGGAAAGTGTGCCCTCAGTACCTTCGATCTCACTCCGTGATGATATCGGTACGACGCAAACATCGCTATTACCTGAAATCGTTCTCATTTAAACCAACACACTTCCCACACTTTGTACCCTCCCTTAATTATTGGTTCCAGATTCCCCAGTTTAGTCTTGTCCCCTGACTTTTGCGAATAATGCTCAAAATTATTTGCGAGGTATGGATACTGAGTACTCGCATAGATGGAGTTGAGCTGTCGTCTAATAGGATTATGGGCCTCGTAATTCCTAGTGCTCGTCTACTCACTTTGAAAGCTCATTTACGGCTACATGCTACGACTTTACGAGTGTAAGAGGGCTTCAACACTGGCAAAGACGTTGTACAAACACGGAATAACTGAAATTATTAAAGCGGCAAAAGTAGTGCTTATCCCAGAACGGAATAGCAGTGCATTTGAAAACTCTAGGTAAAAGATAATGTTTCAGTTTGGAACAATTCTGATTACATCTTCCACGGTATCCAAGTCTTCCACGTTTTTCAATAAATCATTAGGTTTGAATGCGTCTATTGTCTCTACAATGGCGAAAGGGTCAGTTGATGTGCGGATAGGTGCTGAAGTATTCTGAGCATGAAGAGGGAAAGATTTGGTTGACATGGGCGGCTACCAATCCAAGATTCGGTCCCTTGACCATGAATAAGAAATGCGCGCTACACCACCATCACAAAACTTTCTGCGTCAAACCGCTACTTGAAAACAGCAACTGAAACAGAAGCCCACTCTCCTTCTGTCTCCAAAACACCGTCAATAACAGTAATGGGCCTCAGTGTGGGCGAATTGTGTCTGAGAAAAAGAAGGTGAGAATAGGTGTGAGTCACTTTAAACCCATATTAACTGCTATTTGAAAAAAACTATGTTTGCGGCAGTAAGGGGGTGACTAATGTACATTATTTTGAAACCAGTTGGGCTCTGCATGCTTACGCATGCATTGTACAGTCCACGACCGCTCATCCGTAGACTTGAACCTTCTGCAGATGCTTTATCAGGAGATATCGATTCTCCGTGCAAACAGACAGACGCGACCGCTTCGTATATGGTAAGGATGGCATTTTCTTCCAAACAAAATAGGCATTTGGGAACTGTTTGCTAATATCTCTTCTACAGGCGATTATTAACAAAACTAGGAAGCGAACGAGATTATAGCATCAGGGAGTTATCAACATTATTACACTTTATTGCTGATATAGGGCGGAGGAGGCGTAGCGGCGAACGGCGCTTTACCACAGGCATGGTCTGGTGATCATAGCCTGGATCAATATCTGCCTAGGCCAACCAAGCTTTCCATTTCTGTTAGGTCGGTTTATCGGTACGAGGCTTTTGGGAGGATAAAAGTACTGACATGCACATCGGCTGAGCACTGCAATTCATTGTATAGATCACATACGCATGCAGACCGCCGCTACAATTCTGAATGGATGTCCAACGCGGGGCGTATCTCAAGACGAGATTGTCAAAGCTAGAAGACTTTTAAAGCTTCAATGCTGATACTCGGGCCTTCGAAATGTAGAATGCAACAATGTACTGAAGGCGCACTTGAACTGAGCCTGTGTGGAACATGAAGAGCATTCTAAAAAGCATTAGATACTGGTTGTACAGCAGAAGTGACCGTGTAGAAGCCAAAGGCTTGAGTTCAAAAAAGCTCTTAAACCCCTCAAAGGAATGGAGTGAGATCATGAAAAATTCTTTTTGTAGCTGTTCTTCCCCTTCTTACCGAATTCCGATACGGTTGGGACGAATACCTCGCCTGCTTTTTCATCTCATTATACACCTGATTAGGGAATGCTTAACTTTCTATGGATCATATCGTGACATACGGTAGTGCTCTATATCATAAGAAAAATTTGACTTGATGTTTTGTTAACTGCTGTACATCGCCGTAGTCCGCGATCCGAAAGTCTCACAAGGATGGCGATTTGAGGTTAAAACTTTGGCCGGCCTCTGACGGGATTCGAACCGTCCGTGGCCGAGTTTTGCCCACAAATCGCTAACCCGCTCTTCTTATTACGAGTTCTTTTTCCAATTTTGAGAACTGGTCAGCATTTCAAAGTGCGGAGCGGTTGCACCGAGCAAAAAGGAGATCTCAAGAGGTCTGAGTTACGAAACGCCACTGCTGGACCTTGGAATAAAGACCACTGCGACCTGGCGGCATCAGTTGATTCTGTTACCTTCACATTACCATTTGCGAGAGCAAAAAGACAGCAGAACACGAGGCTAAGTAAGTAGGAGATGAAAGAATCCCTGGAATGAATGAGGAGACATACAAGCATGAAAACGCGAGAGCCTCGAAGGTTGGCCCTACCGGGAGCTTCACAAAGCCCAGGCGACTCCCACGTTTGAGGGCGGCAAAAGCAGTAAGCCCTCCTCGGTCAAACTCCATCGAGCTAGCGCCCTGTTACACCAGTAAGGAAATCCCTGAGGCAGTAAACCCATGTCATTCAGCGAAAGCAACAGAATAGGAGAAACACTAGCAGATTTTGCAATTGAATCAACCAACTACTACCATGACCATTCATGGAGAGTTCTTAGACAAATTGATGATTTTTGAAATTATCTTACATTTTTTTCAATAGATAACTATGATTTATATAGAAAATGCCTTGCTGGCTTTGATGGTCATCCTCAATCGTAACTCGTAAATGTCCTTACTCCAGAACGCAGAAGACTCATACTTGAAGAGATACTCGAGCGCCTTTCCGATGTCTTCGCGTTTTTAAAAGGCCATCCAGGCTGCGGTGGAGATGGGGAAATGATGGCAACAGGTCAGGTAGCGGAATACGGTGAAAGCGTAATAGGATACTTTAGGTCCCAGATACGATATTTTCAGTATCCCGAAAGCCGACGTGCTTGCCATGCTGAACCAGCACGGCGTGCTGCTGCTAGTGAGCGAGAATCGAGTTTAACCCTGAAATTCCGCATTTGCTCAAAGTAAAATTCTGCGGTCACTGTACGTCGTCAGCGACAACTCTCAGTATTCTACAATAGAGCTCCACCTTTGCAGACCTTTTGCGCCACTTCTCTTCGTCGATGACGAGGTGCTCAGGCTACGCAGAGGCCATCAAAGTGGGAGGGTCATATCAGATCCATGTCGTGATAGTCATACCAGAACTTGGCGTAACCACGTTCAGTTTGATCGCGTTCTGCCGATTCATTTCAACTAACTGGCTCACAACAAAAGCGATTGCTTTTTTTTTCAGAGTGATTGGATGCAGATCGGTCTGCATCTGGTCCCGCAACACGTCCAACTTCAACTCCGCTGTGCGCCCTTAACGGTCTTCATATTCGATGGAAAATCGCTTGATACGAAGTTCAAACACCATTTGTAGTCTGTACTTCTAGTAGAAATAGAAATATTGACATTAGGACGGTTAAGATGCTCAAAGATGGGTCTAATGGTTTTCTAAGAAAGAGAGGTTTTCTTGCTAGGCTGTTCTTCAAGAAGCCTTCTCTATCCTAACAAGCCCTTACTATGACGTAAATCGATGTTGGGTCTTTGCTGAGATATGATTCCTAGAAGCTCACAACCAAATCGTCTGAGAACTTTCGACTGAACTATCAGGGGGATCAGAACACCGGAAACCTCACAAAAATCCCCAATTCTTCTGGATGATTTCAGGAACTGCTGAAGAAAGACAATAAGTGCACAACTCGCAACTCGCCCAGCATATCCGGAGAATTCCTGATATCGTAGTCGGGTCACTTGATCGAGCTATCTACGACATTACGTTTCCAGCTTTGAATTATTGGAACGAGGCGTGCAAACAACCGCTTAGAAAGGGCTGCAAGGCCGAAAACTTGACGCAAGTTTCGACGTGCTCTACATAAATGTGAAGTGGCCGGATTCGAACTTAAAAAAAAAACTGGTCCCAGTGTATAGAATATGGGGAAACAGTAGTCATTTAGGAATTTAACAAGCAAGAAAGTAGGAGCCGGCTTTGTTATGCGCCTGGAAGTGGGTAGAAACACTATGTAGCAGTTCTATGAGAACTTCCAGAATAAGTCAGGAAAACCTGATTACTGCGAAAGGACTTTCCTAACGGCCCACGTAAATGCGCTGGTTTATCAGAATATAAATAACACAACAGGACCCACCCCTAGTCAGGGAGAAGAATTGCTACCAATCACGTTTTACGTGATGCCATGATACCACCGAAAATGCTGCTGTCCCAATAATACTTTCCAAAGTCGTGGATGAAAATGCAGTGTGACATTTCCAAGGGATCAGGGCGCTTAATACCCGCATCTGCACCTTGGCAACAGGGTTGTTTACAAGGTTGCCTAAGAAGCAGCCGCACTCGATCGAAAGTAAAACCTAGAGGCCACAAAGACTTCTTGCATAAAGTGTCATTCCTAGATCCAGGATAAGCCGCGAACATCCTATCAGGTACTCAAAAAAGCGCTCTCGATCCCCTACGAGCGTGCGTGTTTGCTAGTTATCTTAGGCATGAAGCTTCGTAGTGTTCTGTCAACCGCAACTACGACGAGCTTTCTTCTCCGAGCCACAAATAAATCTCTGGACTGTGCAAGATAAACGGATCGGGATGCTGCGAAAGTTGATTGTTTTCATTCTTGCCATGGATGACTCGAAGAAGCAGATGAAGATAAGAATTTCAGATGCAAAAGTCAAAAGAGAAAATACGAAGAGCAGAACAGAGTCTATGAGCTGAGAGAACTACTGTGTGTGCTTTACGGAGACAATCCATTGGACCAGTAAACACCGTCCAAGAGCATGCATCTGCTTCCCTATATAGGAAGGGTGAGATCAACAAATATTCAGAAAGCTGCAGAGGGAGTCCTCACCAAGCAAGCTTTTAGCTAACCGGCTCAATTCGAGTTGGAGAAGAACCGTAACTGCAACTCAAGTTTTACTGCTTAGAACTGATCCCTGCGTAAGCTCTTTGCAAAGCGCTAGCTCTCATCCAAACGCAAATCGATTAGTAACATGCCAAAAGCAGTCGTCGCGAATAGCTCGTTACGCGGTAACTGGTTCCTGACGACATTGTAAATCATTTGCTCTCCGAGGACGGCCCGACTCGGAAGGTTGCTGAG